TTCAGACGACAGCAGCAATGACGGAGGAGGTGCGGACAGTAGCAGTACTAACGAAGAAAGCTTCGAATGGCGGTGGCGGAAGCTCTGGATGGTGATGTTGTGGACAGAGGAAGCTTCAAATGTGTTCGTCAGTGGCTGAGGAAGTTGCAGTCCTCTCCCTCAACAGTGGGAGCTGCACCTGAAAGCAGCGGTGGCGAAGGGAACTACGCATGAAAGCTAAACCTTCGGACCCGTTTGTTGGCGGCAAAGGAAGCGTCGGTGGTGAGGCAACGACAAAGGAAGCGATGGCGGTGGAGGTAACTGCTGCACACGAAGTAAGGTTTATGGGCCGAAGTAAGCTATTGTTCAATCGAACCAAACTTACTACTAGTCTGGTTCGGTTGCTTCGCTTCAGTCAAGCGCTCGCCCAAGGCTCCCAGCGCTTGGGTTTAGGCGAGTGCCCATGTGACGCTTCATTGAAGCGCATCGCCTGGCCGAGGCTTAAGGCGCTCAGGCCTCGCCTGATCCGAGTGCCTAGGCAAGTGCCCGTGTACCTATTTAAACCCCCCGTTTGAGATGATTCTTATCAATGGAGAAAAGGATGACATGGAGTATAACATTATTATTTATCTACTTACTAGGCAGTTTTGGAGGTAAGTTAGAATATATAGTCAAGTAAAGAGCATAATACATGTTCAGTACTTCAATTTGACTCTGGTGGATTAGAAAACAAAAAGGGCTCTGGTGGATTAGAAAACAAAAAGGGCTCTGGTGGATGTTACTGATGCCTCAAGGTCCTAAGGGAAATCAAATAGTTACAGAATTACTCTCTCTCTCTCTATCTCTCGTGTTTGTCATTTTAACTGGTCATGTAATACTGAGACTATTGTTTTTAATAAACCCATGCACATATAGTGTTTCCTTCTTTTAGTTGTTTCTGGTTTGATATTATTTGATGCTGTTCATCTTTGCAGGGTTCTCAGTGCAGCAGCAGCGCGCCAAGCACGGGATGCTGAAGGTAGATCTTTTAAGGTTTACTTGTGAAACAGTCATAAGATAGTACCAACACTCTTCCCTGACTATAACTTTGTTCAGGATCAAACCAAGAGTCTGAAAAACTGTCAGATAACATGAAGAAGGATCATCTGATGTTAGACATATGTGTGATCTGCCTTGAGCAAGAATATAATGCTGTTTTTGTCCCGTAAGCTTGTCAAAACTTTTTTGTTCCTTTTTCAATTCAAATGCAACATAAATTTTTCCCTTTAGTTCATAATTTATTTATGTCCTAGCTTTTTTCGTATGAGCTTATGCTATGCCCCCACTTTTGCAATCGATTTGAAATGACAATTTCAAATAGAAGATTCTTGTATTTGTGGAAGATCAATATGTTGATTTTGTTTGGCGATTTTAGCCTCTTGAGCACAAGAGACATACTATTCTGCTATGCACATGATTTTCTTGTATCATTCTGTTGGTCAATGAGATTTTTGTTACTGATGATGATGTAATGTGATACTTATACCTAGTCTGTTTACTCTTAGCTTCTTTTGATATGACACTAGATACCTGTTACGTTAATACTTCATATAACATCAAATTCTTTTTTCATAGTTGTTTGATTTTAAATCACTGCAATACATTGTAATTCTGCAAGTTTATATTGCTTCAATAAATATCTTTTATTTGAAAAGATAGATATAGTAAAAGATATGAAGATAATTTGGAATCTTTTAGCATACAATATTTTATTTCTCAAGTTCTATTCAATGTTTTTTAGTGTTTTTTATTTTTATATGGTTTTAAGATTTAGATAGACATGCATTTCGTTTTAGATTATTTTCTCGGCATATTCCTCAGGATGATCCTGATCGACCAATATCATCTATCCTGATTATATTGTTTTCTAGATGAGTTCAATCCTGACACTAACACTATACTTGCAAGTGAGAAGTCAATCATGCATAAAAAGATGTAGAAGAGCAAAGAAACTACAGAGGTGATCTCATTATTCAAGGCAACCCCAAAATAGAATCTCAATAGAAGGAACAAGTGGATTGTTATAGAGATTCCAGTTTTCATTTAGAATTAACACATTTTATGTTTGGCTGTGTTGCATTTTGGAAATCTCTAAATGTAAGATCATCCTTCCTATTTGTTGCAAAACTTCATTTGCATATTATACAAACATTAGGCTAACGTAGAATGCTTGGCAGATATGTATCCCAATGACTTCTAGTGGCTATTCTTGTGCAACATCTGAGCAAAAATAGGAATTTCACCATTTGAATAGTAATGGAGTCCAACAAAACATTATTACCATTGTGGTGAATGTTGTAGGCTTGAATTTTTTTTCCTTTCTACAAGTTGGTTTTTTGCATGATAATTATCGAACCCAATCTATTTATGATTAGATGAAGGCAAACAATCTGCAGAAAACAAAATTACACTAAAAACACAAATAGAAACCATGGGTGACATGAACGATGAATTCTTTGAAAATTAAATCTTTAGGCTTTGGAGGCAAAAGCCTAAAGACCTTCAGTCCGCACCTTCAATTCCACTTGCACTTTCTGCCTTCTTTGTGCCATGACATGAGGGACTGAGTAACTGCTAGCTTTTGTATATTAGACCGGTAGCAACAAAAACATTTTGCTTATCTTTGCACACCGGACCAATATGTCCAAGAAGATTTAGGTGTCGACAGGGAGGAATGGGGCAAGGTAAGGGGCATTGTAGTATTGGGTAGGCTCCTGCATGGCAACCTGGACCTTGAGTTTACCTTGGGGCCTGCTGAAGGGCAATGGAGCTTGACGCTTTTGGTTACCTATTCGATATAGAGGTCGATGCCATTGATGAGCTTATGGAGGGGGAGGCATGTGGCCCGATTGGTGAGATCCATATCGGTAATAGAAAGACCTGCTACAAAAGCATTCTGATGGAACAGAAGTAGACCAAAGAGGATGTTGGTGTATGTGGATGACATGGAGGGACAGCACAGAGGCATTGATGGGCTGGTGTTTGCATTCAATCGAGATCTTGGTTGAGAAAGGGGGTCAGGAAGAGGGAAGAAGTGGAGTTAGAGAGGAGGGTGGTGTGGCTATTGGTGATGGCGAATTGGGAGGATGCATATGATTTGAGGCCAGTCTTAGCCAAAGAAAAAATTAGAAAAATTATAGATGGTATGCTTGTTCGTATTTCTTTAACAGGTGAATTGTCATGGGCTGGTTGTCTGATTTGCATTTGCTTTGGTCTAGGTTTCCAGGTGGAGCCCAAGCTGAAAAAAAGCTGAGCCACGAGATATCTGGTTTATGAACAGTGCCAGCCTCCTGCTTCATTGTTTGCATACATTCATCATTTTTGTTTGTGTTGCATGACTTGATATGTATTCACAGGCTATATGCATGGGACATGCTTATATTATGTATACATGATAAGATGCCCGTTTTAGGTTTTACAATTTTTGGAAAACTTTTGCTACCAGTCCTCACAATCGGCACAATCTGATTTTGTATAATTACCTAATGTTTGAAGGTAATTATTGGTATTCATTCTTCTGGATCTGCAAAATCGGATAGTATTTTGCATAGGAATTATATGCAAATATTGTTCATAGGTCTAAGCCATAATTTGTTATTCTTCGAGGGGAAGACCATGGAATTATCCTTACTGTAATACTCTTGTTGTTGTTGAGATGTAATGGAATCCATACTTTATTTATCTTTTAAATTTAGTGAGTTATCGTTTTATTAAAGTTAGGTACCCATATATTTCATTGTATTGTATTATTGAGGCTGTATTAGCACAACAATATTTCATACATTTCCTCTGGAAAGTGCTTGAAACGTTCAGATATATTTTTAATGTGCCTCATAGATGAGAATACCATCAAAACTACCCCTTTTCCTTTGTTTTTAGTGCTGTTTGTGCTAATGGTTTTCTTTCATATAAAGCTCACCATAAAATTGGTTATTGTACTAAGAATGGTGATTTGTACCTTTCCAGGTGTGGTCATATGTGCTGCTGCACCACATGCTCTTCACACTTAACTAGCTGCCCACTCTGTCGTAAAAGAATCGATCAAGTTGTCAAGACCTTCCGTCACTGATATTTTAGAGAAAGCTTAACAATATTCTCATTTGATGCTGTGGCTCTTTTGAAAGATTATGAATGCCAGCTCTAGACTTATCTGTAGCCATTGTCATCTACTGACAGCTGATATAAGCTTGCCAAAGGTAGCCTTAAGGAAGGAATCACATCCTATCTCCGATATTATCAGACATGTGATTGTTAGATGTGATTGATTTTACAAGTAAGTCGGTAGTTTGCTTCTCTTTGTAAATTTGTGAGATTCCTCTTTGGGGAATGTCATAGCCTGATTATGTTCTTCATGGTACAGATTTTCAAATTTACAGTTGTTAGAATTTATGCATTCAAAAAGTGTTCTACTGTATTATAATGATATACATGTGAAAGCGCATTAAGATTTTCGGAACAGAATGAGGAAGAAGGCGAATGTACCCGAGTTATCTATGAAGAACATGGAAAAGACGCTTGTGCATGGCTACACTCATACAGTATTAAGAATTTTATATGTTGCGACTTTACGACTGTGTTGTTGTGATATTCATAATTTGTTATCATATTGTGACACTTGTTTAAGTAATACTCAGAAAGTTGATAAGCTTCTTCCTAATCATTGTAAAATTACAATTGTTGTAAAATTTGCTGATATGTACAAAGATTCTTCCTAATCACAGGCATATAAAAAACATAGAACAAGAAGACAATCTTTCTAGGTGTGAACTCAAATCGAGTATAATCTTTGTTCCTGACTTGGTGGTGTGCTTGCTTGTGTTTGCTCAGTTGAGTTTCCATTATTGTTTGTCAAATACCAGCGGGGCCTCATGTTGTGGTCCACTTGGTTACTATAATTTATCTTCTCTCTTTCAGTGGCTTTTTTTGCTTTCATCTAAATAATGTGAACTCTCCCGCTAAAAAAGTCGCTGAGGCAACAGAACACGATTCCATCGCAGGAAACAGAGCAAAAATTTCTTGGCATCTCACAAAAGAAAGCAAAGCGATACGCTTTCGTTCCCACTTCGTTTCTACGCCATCCCTCTCTCTCTCTCTCTCTTCCAGCATATACCTCACCGGCACACCATGCATTACTATATTCTCTCTCTCTCTCTCTCTCAAAAGGGTCATCAAGGGCTATTAAAACTCGCTCGCTCACCCAAAATCTCCAGTCTTCAGCATACCAACTCTCCAATGGCAAAGGATGCAGCAGACTCCAAGCCGTTGGGCGTGTGCGAAAGGCTCTTCAATGCCCTCAGCTTCAATGCAGCATTTCGGCCGCTCCGTCGCCTAACTTTCCACAAGCAACCCGCCACCGCCGACCACTCCGACTATGGCATGAACGGCCTCAAGACCGATCACAGTCCTGCTACTGCAACGAAGCCAAAACCAGCTAAACTACCAGAACCCGATGCCATCGCCCTGCCTCCGTCGGCAAAGCCTCTGCGAGCAGCAACGGCAAAAGAACAGCTTCAGAAGGTTGACCCACCACCTCCAACGACAGATAAGCCTATACCTCTTCCAGTTCCACCTCCTCCCCTTGCCACTACCTACAAACCAGGGAGTACAACAGTGCCAAGAGCTCCAGAGAAAGCAGTTCCCAAGCCAGCACCACCGGCAGCAGTGGCTGAACCGCAGCCAGCGCCACCGACTGCAGCGGTGACGAGGACGAAGACCATCAACAACAAGGCCGCAGAGTTTATCCAGAGCTCAAGGAGAAAGATCAGGTCTGGGTCCTTCGCAACGACGCCCACTGTGAAGTGAAGTGTTGATACACTGAGGAAACTCCAAACCATTAGTACAAGATGAAGAAGCTTAAGTTTGATGTAGTGTTCCTTACTTTCTCGATTCAATGTACTTGAATAAGACCTAAAACGTAATCGATGTGCATGTCATTTTGTCCCTCTCCATTTCAGAGACCCAACGGATGCTTGAGCTGCTGCCCCTTTTGTTCGCTTCAAGAACATAATAGGAAAAGGCAATACTTCTTGAAGCCATGCCTTTTCGTAGCTAGCCCGGATCACGGTTCAATTCGAATCAAAATTAAACTTGGTTAGAATTGAAACCGAACTGACTTGACTGTTTATCGGTGTAAAAGAGCAGTTCATCATGTAAACTTGGCAAATTATTATTTGGAGTGGTCACCAAAAAGATATGAGGCATGCTTACATTCATTTGCATCGGAAACATGGAAGCTTAGCAAGTTTGAGCTTCTATTTGGCTAAAAAAATATAGGACACTAACAAAGTTAATAAAATATGAACCATGACAATTGTGTTTGATGGAGATGAGAAAAATAAGAATACATGTACCAAGTAAGACTTTTGCCATCAGCCTCGCATTCACTAGCTGGTTGCCTACAGAACATGTTCTCCCAAAGTTTCTACCTGTTTAGATGAGTGAATTGCATATTTGACATTGAACATCAGGTAAAAAAGCAAATAAAAATCTGCCAATAACATTCATCGACATTACTAATCGGAACATCATGATCTGATCAGATATTCTGTTAAAGATAACTATAGTGTGAGTTTTATTCAGACATCATCGCATATGGCAAAGGTGAGACTTGGGGGTCTCGAATCCAATTTGTTGGTTGTCACATATGTGATCCCAACAAAATCCTTAGTGTTCATGTTTTTAGCACATGCACATAAAGAAGAACGCGACTTCAAATGAATCGCTAGGAATGGTAACCTAAATATTGTGAGTTAGGCATACTCTGTTTTAGTAATACATAAGAGAATACAGTATCGTGTGATTCAACAATTATCCACAAGTTGAGAGACTCTTAAAGATTAAACATCTATTCGTATTTGGCTCTTCTACACTCTTATCAACCTAATATCCTTCCTGATCGAGACGAGGTAGAAATAGGTAACATGAACAAGCATTTTTTATCAATTCCTGTATTAAAGCAGGCAAGACAATGTGATCGGTTCAATTAGAACATGAAAAGAATGACACCAACACACAGTAGAAGTGTCGCATCAGAGAGGCAGAGGTTCATGGTGGATTAGCTAAGATTAGATTCCACAAAGGAATCATTATTCCTAAAGTTTGATACAACACGCACACTGTTGAATTCTATTTTATAAATTTTCTTGAGAATCTCGAGCACCAATTAGTAAAACGATGAACTATATAGAAAATTATCCCAGAATTGTGGAGATCATTCATCTAATGTGCTAAAAGTTAACAGAAATTCCATTTTGAAACTTCTTAATGAGATAAGAAATGGCCATCAGTAAATTAGAAGAAATTGAACAGATGAAATAGGAATCAATAACATACGAGTTCAACAGAATCAATGTAAAACTTAGAAAAATCACTTAGAAACTGACTAGATCATATTGCTGATCTATAGCAGGAATAGTTTAAAAAAGAACATTAATGAACTACAAGGAAAACAAGTTTGATGCAGCGATAATTTTCATGGTTGCATAGTATAAGATGCAGTTTGCTTAAAATAATGCTGGCGTCTAATCTCACCATCAACAAATCTCATTTAATTCTGACAAATTAGTGGCACAAAACACTAAATATAAAAGTCATTAGAAACTTTCAACCCTGACAATCTCTCTAGACGCCCAAAGGCAGAGATAGCTCTTATAAGACATAAAAATTTTGGGTTCTAAGCATTTGCTTCCTTTCAATCATTTTTGTGATATTATGCTGTGTATAAGAGAAAATGTTTGTGAACTCACTACAATTCCAACAAATTGTTCGATTTACCATACCATGGTAATATTTCAGATAAAGATTCACAATCTATAATATAATTACAGATATCATGTCCTAAGGGTTTGCATCATGTAATCAATTAATCACTAAAAGGGTAGATCGTAGCTATGCGAACCGGAAGACAGACAAGAAGTAACTCAAACAAGAACCAAAATTTGTGCATGATTTCAAAATTTTCTAGTTCTACAAAGGAAGAATGTATAACTTTAGGTTCCCCAAACATGGCGCCTACCAAAGTGGATTAATTTCACGATTCGATAACTAAATGAAGAGCTATGTTAAAAGGAACTCATCGATCCATCCATCCAAGAATCCAATGTCAAACCAGAAGACGTGGGGAAACCCAAGACATCAGGTAAAAAAGAATAAGAAGAGGCATAGGGATTCACGAATGCTTCCCTTTCTTCTTCTCATCCTCCGAGTCACGATCATTGGCGGCCGCGGCAGCAGCAGCGTCGGCCAGAGCTTGCTCGGCTCGGAGGATGGGCTCATAATAGTCGGGGTGGGCGTCCATGCACTTCTTGAGGAGGGCCGCGGCCTCGGAGCATTTGTCGACGATGTCCTCGTCGCGCTTCTCGGCCTCCTGCATACACTTCTCCCACGCGACAAAGGCGTCCTTGCACCCTCCGCCCTTCATGAAGAGGCAGAAACCGCACTCCTCCTCTTCTTCGCTTCCTCCATTCGCTTCTCCCTTCTTCTCCTCTCCTCCGTCGTCCGCCGCCACCGTTGTTCCCCCGTCCACAATCGTCTGGTCCGGAGCTGCGGAGGCGGTCGGTAGCGAATCTTGATCGGATCTGGCATGCGAGGGAGGAGAAGAATCCATGATTCTGGAAGGAAGAGGAGTAGTAGTCAAGGTTTAGGGTTTTGTAGTTCTTCGACTCCTCCGGCAGGCTGTGTTTAGATAGGTAAAGATGGGTGGTTTAGTACTAATCCCCTTAAGGTTGGCCTCTAATCCAGAAATCTGGAAATTTTCTTGATTAAAACAGTATATATGATCCCTAATTAATTAGCATACTCTTTTTTCTTAATCTTTGGATTCCTATCAAATATTGGGATAAAAAGATTAACAAAAGAGAAAATTCAAGAAAATTTTGAAGAGTAATTATATATATATATATATATATATATATATTATATGATTTGCTTCATTAGAAAAGGCTCACACACGTACATACCACACATCCATCGGGTTACATAGACATAGACGACAGCTTCCTAACGCGAAGTACAGCGACATGCACTAACTTGGGGGCTGTCACTTAAGAGGTAGCGATTGGGTGGGTGGCAACTGCTTCCATGGCTTTCATGGCTTCGAATCTTGGCTCCTTGGCCTGGAACTTATGCCCGACGTAGAGCTTCATGTAATCCTCGAACACGAACTTCGGATAGACCTCCTTCTTCTCCTCCGCTTCCTTCTCCACAAGAGCGGGGGCCGGGAAGATCACAGCGTCGCTCCCGGGGTTGTAGAAGGAGGCAATCGACATCCTGTTGCCATCAGTCTGAGCCACCACGCGGTGCACCACGCTCTTGTACTTGCCATTGGTGATTACCTGCAGACCTCGTTGCATTCAACATCACAGACGACGGGCAGCGGAAACGAGAGCAAAGAGGACCCAAACCTCGAGCTGGTCGCCGAGGTTGACGACGATGGCGTGGCGCATGGGGGGCACGTCCAGCCACTCGCCGTCCTTGAGGAACTGCAGGCCGCTGACCTGGTCGTCCTGGAAGAGCAAGATGATGCCTCCGGCGTCGGTGTGCGCCCTCAGGCCCTTCACCAGGTCCGGGCGCGGGCATGGCGGGTAGCTGCTGACCTTGGTCCCAAAGGTTGGCCCCTTGGATCCATTAGAGAAGGCTTTCTTCAGGTACCCCTTCTCCAGCCCCAGGTTCTCACCCAGCAAGTCGAGCAGCCGCTCTGCCAGCTTCTCCATCTCTGCCGCAAATTCCTTCATCGCCTTCCTGCACGCAGTCATCGTCCCAAGAAACGAAACGATGAGCAAGGTGAAAAGACCAGGCCAGAAGATGACATCATGATCAGATCGTGCAACCTATACTGGTCATCAAGATCGGGGATCTCAGAAATGTTGGAGACGGGGAGATGACGCAGGAAAAAGGTGCTTTCCCAGTCGAGGTGGTCGATTTCTGAGTCGGCGTTTTCCAGTGCTTTGTTGGCGAACTCGTTGAACTTTTGCTCCCTGCATTTGTTGTACTGGTCTTTGTTCACCTTCTCCACTTCATCCATGAGGTCATGTGAGATGCCATGGTTTAAAATCTACACACAGATTGCATGTGCAAATAGTACATTTTAGCAATATATATATAGTTCAAAGAAGCAAAACCAGTTATGTATGCTTCAGCACCTCAAAGAAGCCCCATTTCTCGCAAGCATCTCGGAGGATCTCCATGGCTTCTCCTCTCTCCCTTCCCAAAAGCTTCTCCATGTCGATAACCGGAAAGGAATCCATGACACGCTCTTTCTTCCCTGATTGCACTTGTGCTTTCTATCTGGAGTGTGCTAGGTGCTGCTGATTACCAGGCAATTTATAGGCGTTCCTGACGTCGAGGGACGAAATGAATGAAGAAGCAAAGTTGGAGAAGGATCTATCGACGAGAGCAACAGCAGTGGAAGACGTATCGGAGCCGATTCCATAAGGTGACCCAGTTGGCCATCTCTCAGCCCCACCACCTTTGGCCTGGTTCTCCACCCTCCTTGCCTCCACCTCTCGCGTCCCATCACGATCGGGGACCAAGTTTGGCTGCTTCCATCGGTCTCTCCCCTTTGAGGAGACCCGGGAAGGCATCATGTTGTTGAGTTCTTCCATGGCGACGCCTCGCGTGCATGGCTTCCGCTTGGATTGTAGTGACAAATTGCCAACCTCAGAAAGTAACCTCACAGCATCGGCGATGCGTGTGTACTCGTCTTCTCTTGACCTGTTGGCTATACTTCATATCAAAAGAACAGGGATCGATAGGTAGAAATTGTTTCGATTCACAGCTCATTAGAGCGCCCTTTCCACTCGTATCCCTCTCATATGTGAGAAATGGGCCATTCCTGCCTCACATTCAACGCTCGATGGCTGTTCGGCATGTCGGCCATTGCCGTGAACATGAAGTATCCGGTGTGCAAACAGTGTCACTCGGCCGAGGTTCCATCTGGTGACGCATGGATCTCCGTTATCTGGGTATTTTCTCATTCTTCGATCATAGATCGCTATAACTATAACCAAATCACCATCTCTACGTGAGATGAACAGGTCATGGGAAAATCCTCGCTCGGCTAGTTATATAGACTCCCTTTCTCCGGTTGGTGGCCACAAGAAAGCAATGGGTTCAGAATGTGGTGTTCTCGTGAAGCAAGCAAACAATTCAATTGATCACATGAAAGCGGCAAGCATATTCTGCTTCAAGTTTTATGAGGTTAAATCAATCAACATTAGGATATTTCTCTTAGATTCGGTGCTGCCTCATCATGAACAGAACAGTTTGACAGAGGAAAACAGGAAGAAGATGCAAGCAGGTAATCTATAACAACTTAAGCTACTCTATGAATCTACGTGAAAGAAGAGCACAAGAAACAGAGCTATAAACAATGCAAGAAGAGAGAAAAGAGAACCAACATCAAAGATTGCATTGCCGGAAAACACACCTCCATGCAATCTGCTGTTGTGCAACAGCAGATATGCAAGTAAGATGAGGACACATTGTGCACCCAAACATGACTTGTCGGCAAGCTTTGGTGCATGTAGGCTCACGCATGTTTATCGTATCTTCTTCAATTGTTGGTTCGGTGCCTGTCACATGTTTGCAGCTATGCATGACTTGCCGGCAAGCTTTGGTGCATGTAGGCTCACGCATGTTTATCTTCTTCGATAAAACGCTTGCTGAGCGCAGCACTACAGCTCAAATCAGGGACAGGTAAAGGATGATGATGCCAATTCCCCCTGTTGTCAACAGAGTCATGTTCATGTCTGTGAGACACACACGTACTGTAAGAAAACCAAGTGCAGCAAGCCAGCTCGAATCATCAAGTTAAACCCACTTTGAGACACACGATCACACTGTCGACGGTAGCATTTAACATCGACTTCACTCACTGGTTCACCACCACAGTGAGAAGATTCCTGTACCAGGGCACAAACTCCCAAACTAGAAGTCAAGCTCTACATCTTCCTAATGCCAAAGAACCTTTTGTCAACAGAGACACTACAGTAGCGTGCAAGAAGCTTTACGACTCAGGGAAGAAGAACAGCTTGCTCTGCATCCTCTGCTTTTCCTGGGACTGAAGTTGTATCACACACCAGCCGGGGAAAGAACTCCATTGCTGCATCTTATTCTTCCTCTCTGGCCTGCTTTGATGCGTGACCATTCACATGCAGTGCAGTAAGAGTGGTTAGGTTCCTTTCATCATCCATTAGACTGCGTGCTTTAGCCGTGTAAAGTGATATGGAAAGAATGGCTTTGCTTCATAGGTCTATCAAATAAATCTACTTCAACTGGACATTAGCATTAGTAGCCTGTGGGAAAGGAACAATATTTGCTATGGTGTTGGGATACTGCCCAATTCTACATAGATCCAATTCCACATCCCAAATTGGGTCTCCTACTGTCACAAGTGAGTCATTAGTAGTGATATTTCTGCACTCCCAACTTACAGAGAAGGACATTCTCTCTAGTTGCAAACCTCAGCAGGAAGAATGTATGGGTGAAAGTGTTAGAAGGCTGAGCGTCGTCATCGTCGGTGGGGGTGATACTCTTGTGACATAGGATCCATCCTTTGGATTAACTAGTTCAAATTCGTATGTACCACAAATCTTTGTGTGCAGTTAAAGATAGTTACAAAACTTCCTTCAAGCCCTTTACAATAAGGTATAAAAACTTGTCTTTTAACACGAAGAATTTTCTTGAATTATTAATATTCATATTTTCATATCTCAGGTTATTAATTTGATCAGAAACCTCTTTCGACCTTGTCTTTATACATATAATTCATCAAGAGTTCAACGTTATCACGTTAGAGATCCCTCGGACTTCCTTACGCATTTGAACTTGAATCAAATTGATTAAAACATCAATAATATTTTTTCCTTAGAGAGATAAAATATTTTTTGAATATTTTTTTGATATTAGTAATTTTAGCGAAGGACAGACTGTAAATAGATAAATGACATGGACTAAAATATAAAAAAAGGGCGCGGACACACCACTTTCTCGCCGCCCCCTCAGAACCACCTCTCCAAGTGAGGAGGGCTTGGGATAAGAACAGAGAGGAAGAAACAGAGAAGAAGAGAAGAGGGAGAGGATAAGGAAGAAAACAAAGAAAGGAAGAGGGAAGAACGAAGAAGAAGAAGAGAAGGGAAGGAAGGGGGAGGGAAAGGAAAGACAAGAACAAAAGAAAGGGGGAAGAAATAAAGGATCGTGACCAAAAGAAAGAGAAGAGGGAAAAAAAAAGAAAGAAGAGATGAAGAGAAAAAGAAAAGATAGGTAAAAAATGAAAAAATGAGAGAAAAATTATGAATGATTCAGTTTAATATCAGATAGATTCAGATCAGTAGAAAAAAATTATATCAGATATGGTTTTAAATTTTCTTGTATTCTAAATAATTAGAATTATATTTTGAGTTATAAATGGATGAATCCTGATGTTCTTAGTGAACTGGATATTTATATTAGAAATGAAATAGAAGAAAAAAATAATTATATTAAAAAAAGAAAAATCAGAATATATTATATCAAGGATATGCAATGAGATGAGGGTAAGATTATATGAGATATTATTTAAATTCTCTTGTACTCTTATTAATTACATTTATTTTTTGAAATATAAATGGATGAATTATGATGTTATTAGTGGATTGAATATTTATGTTAAAAAATAAAAAGAAAAAATAATTACATTTATTTTTGAATGCATAATTTCATTTCTAGTATTGTTATTATTATACATTTCTTAACTAAGCTTTGTACATCTCTGTTTCTTCTTCGAATTCTTCTTTCCTCTATCATATCATTCTCAACTGCAAAATTCTTTTGCCTATGAGGTGGAGTTTCCTCAGGCTTAGGCATTATGCCTCATGTTACAGAGAGATCATAGATAAACATAATCTTGCATTAACATAGTCACTGTTACTCCAAGGTTTCAACTAGCTTCGAGCACATCTCTTAGGCATGCAATTCTAAGCTTGGGAACATATTTTGTTCTTTTTGTTATCTACATGTCTGTGCATCTTCCACTCATCTACCTCATGTGGTATTAATTGCGTTACACCAGGATGACACTTCACCTTCATCCCTTTTCTTGGGATGTTTATGCTTAAGCTTTGCTTTGGTAGGGTAAGAGGGATTAATTCAGCATCTCTGTTTTGGTAAGGTCACTTGTGATTACTTCTTATTCCACAGGAAGACTCCCGACTGTGGCTTAGTCGTCTTCCAGTAGGTGTGAGAAGAAGCCTTGGGCGAGGGGAAGCAACAGTAACACAGTCTTAAATGAGGCGATGGGGACATATACCAATCTCCATGGAGCTGATCACATGCTCCTTTCCTATCAGCGCTGTAGGTTGTGGGATGTGCTTTCACTTCGCATCTTTATCTTAGTCGGTTGGTCTGGTTTGACTCCAATATGAGGACGAGAAAGAAGATGACTACTTGCGTGTACATGAACTGTAGGCCCTTCGATGGACCACCTCTTTATGACTATAACTTGCATGATTTAAAGGCAGGAGAGCAGTCAATGTGCGTGCTTTCAGGACGGCTTTATATATATTGTGGTAACACTCATTTACCTGAGAACATACCACTATGGAGAAGCTTAGATCTGCATGAGTAGATGTAGATGTAGATGTAAACCATGAATGTTCTTTTATCCAAAGAAAGAAGAAAGTTCTAGCAAGCCTCATGTATGTTACCATGTTCGTTGTGTTGATGTTAGATCAATGTGATCTTCTTTGGATTTTTCCTTCTGACCATTGTGTAGTTGACGTAAAACTGGAGAAGTTTACCGCAGACATTTCTTTTGGGAGAACATGGAGTAATGAGCATGTGGGTTTTGTCTGTTCATGCGACTAAGGCGTTGGACTCTTGACTCCATAAGGGTGAAGTACTCTGTTTCACTGCCACAATTCAATCCACATATGACTTGTTTTTGGGCGTGAAGACTGGATGGAAGAACATGGGTTGCTGGTCACAGGTGTCGTACCTCCGCCATTTGTGGAGGACAGGAGTTCGTGAGACTCCAAAGACAGCTTAGACATCTGCTTTGATCCTGAAAACCTGCTCAGTGATGGAAAACGAACGCTATATAAACTATAAGACTAGCTCTCGATGAACATCCACAACAAATATTAGCTGCAAGTACTGTTGCATCTCTCTCTCTCTCTCTCTCTCTCTCTCTCTCGTTCAAGCATTACAATTCGCGAACACAACCAGGAACTACAAACTACAAGCACATCACCTACTTTCGTTCTTTATTTCTTGGATGCGGAGTAGTGCCAGTAACATTGCGGTGGATGAATACTATCATTCGATGTCAGAGAGAG